GGTCCTACTCGAGTAACTGCACCAGGGAATTATTCTGCTCATATCAATTTTCCCTTCATCCTTCATTCCCGCAGCAATTGAACTGGAAGAATCACTTCTTTCTTGCCTATTGGGTGTAACCTGAGCACACAATGAGTCCTTTGTGTCCATTAGAGCATGCCCAGTTTCTTCGAGATTTCTTGATACTTGCCAGAATTTCAGTACAAGAACTTCAGATGATCTCTTAACACTGTAGTACAGATTCGAGGACAATAATATGAAGCATAACAACAGTAACAAGGAAAGAATGGACTCTGGATTTTCTACCTGAAAGAGGGTGTGAGAAAACACGAATTACACAGAAAAAGGCTGATTTTATATTGATTTTGAAATTCAGTAACAAGGAAAATGAACTGAAGATTTACGGCACAGAAGTTTGAATTAGTTTGATCACAATGGCTACTCTCCAATAGTCGACCAAGAAAATTGAAAGGGCAACTTAAAATTTGTTGATAAGTAATTATTTTACTAGTTTTTATGTAGTCATTTGATTTATTTTTAAGCCTTTTTTAATTAAAAATGATGACATGAAGCTCTATTTAGTTAACATTCATTCAAAGTGAGGAATTGAATTGGAAAATGCTTTTGAGCAAAATTAATGCACTTTTTGGATAATTTTTGTAGGGAATTGAAGCATGTGGAAGTTGCAAAGATTCAAATTGAGATGATTATAATATGGGTAAATTACATTTTACCCCCCTGTGATTTACCCTTTTTTACATAACCCCCTATGGTTTCAAAAGCTATACATAACCCCCTCATGGTTTGGATTAAAGTGTCAAAGTAACGGAAATAGTCACTCGTAACGGAATTTCTAAAAATGTCGAAATTACCCTTATAAATACATGACACATTAACCCCCTATGATTTTTATATTTTACCATATAACCCCCTTATGGTTTAATACTTTACCATATAACCCCTTATGATTTTCAAAATATACACATAACCCCCCTTGGTTAATACATAAATTTTAATCTTACATAAGGGTATTTTTGACATTTTAGATGATGCCGTTACGAGTGATTATTTTCGTTACTTTGACACTTTAATCCAAACCATAAGGGGGTTATGTATAGCTTTTGAAACCATAGGGGGGTTATGTGAAAAACGCTAAACCACAAGGGGGTAAAGTGAAATTTGCCCTTATAATATAAGTCAATTACAGAGGAAGCAAGTGATTAAAAGTTGGAGAATTTAAAGCTTCAAAATTGCAATGAAAAATTCAACTTTTACACATTCGGACATGATCCACTAACCACAAATGTTAGTCAGCAGCAGAGGAAGTGAGCATCTGACGTTTCTCTCTCAATGGAGATAGGGGAGCCTAATTTGGAAGGTGATCTGCGAGCTTTGACTTGCAGATCCACCTAGCAGATCCCTGATAAAGATGGGTCCACTTGCAATTCGATTTCCAGCTTTTTCCCAGCTCAATTTATCAGAGATTCTCGATTGTAGCTGTATGATTAAGACTTGAAGAATCACGAAACATCTTTTCAGTTGTGACTTTTTCTCCATAGAGTACATACATTAAAGATAATAGATGATAGAATAGAGTAGAGAAACTAGTTAAGTTGGGTTTAGCATCAAGTGAGAGGTACTCTTGTGAGAAAATATTGATATGAGTTAGTAAGTGAACTACAAAATTGTGAAGAGAAGATTAAAAAGCTTGTTTCATCATTTGAAGAAGTCTTCTTAATCCCTTACTCTTTATTTCTTAAAGTTCCTTCATGTCTTACTTTACAAGTTTTGTGTGTTTAATACATATGAGTAGTTAAACTCTTTCATCCTAGGGAGAAAGATGAATTTATAGCTTCTTAGATTGAATTCACTTGAGTTGATTCAAAGGTGATTTGTGAACTTGTTAGTTCATATATTTGCATCTCACATTTATGGTCATTTGATCAATAACTATAAATCATCCAAGCATGTATTTGTGCATGAAATTGCCTTGCATGTGTAGTTGAAGATATATGAACCTTAATTTGCATTTTCACGTTAGTAGGAGATGCGTCTAAGTGGATTCAAGCTTGCAATTTCATGAGCCACAAATCAATAACCTTAATCATCCAAGTTAACCACTTGCTTTGAGTTACAAGGAATTCTAATCCTTAGAATTTCTTTTAATGTGAATCTTAAGCTAACTTTATCTAACTTGTTCTTTGCTTTTGATTTAATTCTTGTTCTCTACTGCCTACATGGTTGGTTTTACCACCTTATGGCCGGTTATACTGCCTAATCCTTTATATTTCTTGTTTATTTACATATTCGGTGTTTATATAATAAAGCAAGTTAAAAAGCCATAGTACTTAACTAAGTCATTGTGGGATTGACACCTAATTATCACTATACTAAATACACGATCCATATACTTGCGAAAAATTGGGGTATAAAGGCAAAAACTGATTGATAATTGGGAGAATTTAACTTGAAAGCCTAGGCTATGTCAAGTTTTTGGCGCCATTACCGGGATTTCAAATAATATTAGGGCAAAATCAAACTTTATTAATCTAAACTTGTTTTTGTTTTTAATTTTCCTTGTATAAACGGTGCCAATTTACAAGTTTATATTAAGTAGTAGAATTTGTGGTAACTCTTCTTAACTTTGGTGTTTTGTAGTGCATGCACCAATCCATCCGTACACATACTACTATTTGACCCCAAAATCGGGAAAATGGCAAATAAGAGAAGGCTTTCGGCATGACAACAACCTACAAACTCAACAACAAGAAGTGGAGAGTGAAGGTGAAATTATCATTGAATTGCCTCACTTAGAAGAAATGGCGGAGGAACGTGCAAATCGCAATCAACAAATCTTGAGAGATTTTGTTTTGCCATCTACGGAGAGATCTCAAACAAGTTGACGTGCGCTGGGTATATATATAACATTTAACTCATTCACAATTAAGTTTTACATTTATAAACTTCTAAATACCCCACACGTAATTTATCACAAGTATAAGAATCGTGAGCGAGTATAGGGTATTAAGGGTCGATCCCACAAGGAAGATTGCAATTACTGGCACTACTAAAGCTTCTCTATTATTTAAACTATCAATGTATTATAAGAAATGAAACCTACTAAACTTATGCAAAATAACAAATGAAAGCTCCTTAGGTTATGGTATCCCTAACTACTCATGCAATTGCTATTTTTGGATCATTGAGTACTACTATCTACGCTAGTTATAGTGTAATTTCCTTAAACATGTGAAACCTACTTTCGTAGTGAATCAACTATACTCGTAACTAATCCATACCTATTCTCATGGTTATGAAATTAGCTACAAGTTTATTTCTTCAATGAAATTACATGAAATTAATCACTAAAACCACATAGGTGCACCTCTACTCTCGTAAATGTACTCCCTATGTTTAGCACTTCTTAAACTAGTGTTAAATCTCAATTTTCACTACAGAAACAACACCTTAGATAATCACAATTAATGGTACCAGATTAATCATGATTTAAAGGGCCAAAGTGCTAAATAACTTGCTCAAATATAGTAATCAAATAACCAAATAATAAACACTAACAATCATAGAAAGTTCAACCAAACTCAAGGCATAAACTTTAAAGACACATATTGAACACAAAATCCAGAACTTGCATATTAACTATACTTAAGAATCTGATACAAAAGATAAAGAGTTGGAGAAGAGATAACCCATGTCACTTGAGTTTCAACTCTTCCTTCTTCATCTACATCTGCATCCTAATCTATCCAATATACAGGAATGGATGAACTACACGTACTCTGTACTAAACTAACCTAACACTCAGAAAATACAAGAGCTACATTTCTGCACTCCAAGCTTTCTCCTGTATCTCTCTCTATTCTCCTCAATCTTGCAAGTTTTGGCTATGTAAAGATGAAAGAAGTCAAGAAAATGAGGCCTACACCACCCTTTTACAGCTGCAAAGTAGTTCCCACATCTCTGGCATTGCATGTGACTTATTGGAGGTGAAAATAAGTTTTCCACGTAAAGAGCAGCCTTCTCTGACCACAATCCGGCCAGAAATCCAGCCAACAATCCGGCCAAGTTCCGGCCGGATTGCTACAGTGACATTTTGGTGCACTTTTGTTCAATTTCCAGCTCTGCTCCGATTTTGCGTCAATTTCAACTGAACTTTTATGGATGATAAAAGCTCGTTTAGCTCTTGACCAAAACATAAAACTTGTAGCCGTTTGAGTTATCTTTCCAATGCATCAAGAATCACCTCATTTGGATCTATGTAAGCTGATAAATGACCAAAATACCCTTGACTGCTCACTGCCATGTTTCAGCTTCAACTAATAGAAATTAGCTACTATAATTCGGCTTTTTGACCTAGAAAACCTTCAAACTGGATTCAGATGTCTTCACCAAAGTTGTAGATCTATCTCTTATCTTCAAATTGGTTTAAGAATCATCTCAATCTGATTATTGTAGCACAAGTTATAGCCAAAATACGAAAATGTGTCAAAACTGTCAAAATGCACAAAATTCGAGTAAAAAGTGATAAAAACCTCATTTAATAACTTAAAAGCATTTTTCACCAATTATAGCCAAAATGATTCATTTTCTTCCAATAATATAACCAAAGTGACTAAAAATAATATAAAATGTCATACAATTAAAACGTAAATTAGTCACTTATCGCTAGTATTGCACGATCGGCAGTCAATACAAATAACTTTGAGATTAAGCTGGCATTGATTTAAATGCTCCAACAAGAACAATTTGGAGGCAATACAATGGAGGATCCAAATACTCACTTAGCTAATTTCTTGGAGATTTGTGACACAATCAAGTTTAATAGAGTGAGTGGCGATGCTATAAAGCATCAATTGTTTCCTTTCTCTTTAAGAGATAAGGCTAAGGTATGGCTTAATTCACATGCACCAAACACTTTCACTACTTGGGCCGATTTATCTAAAGCTTTCTTAAGTAAGTATTTTGCACCGTGTAAAACTGCCAAACTAAGTATGGATATAATGGGTTTTGTTCAACAAGAATGTGAATCAATATATGAGGCATGACAGAGGCTTAAGGAGTTGCAAAGCAAATGTCCTTACCATGGACTTCCTAATTGGTTAATTGTGCAAACATTCTATAATGGTTTAACCTAAATTGTCAAGACTCATATTGATGCAGCTGCTGTGACACCCCTACTTCTTCCTAAGGCAAACCAAAGGGTATTGGCGGGATGCCTGCCCAGCTCTCGCCAGAACACGATACAAATTCAATTCAAACTTAAGGGTAACTATTGATACTAAAAGTCAAAAATATAAAGAAAGTTCGCTTCCTTAATAAATATTCAAGTCTTACATCACAAGATACCAAAAGATCATCTCATTCCCAATATATACAACCTCCAAAAGTTGTCTAGACAAATACATTCAAAATTCTAATCAAACGTCCACCGAGTAAACTTCTCCATAATTCCTTTCATTCCAGCTCCTGTTAAGGAAAACAAATCTAACAGGGTGAGCGAATGCTCGTGAAGTCAAGAAACACACATGCAAACACGTAGTCCAAATAACTACAACAATTATATAGTAAGTGAAGCTGTAAAGTTCGAGTAATTAACATTTCAAGTAGGAAAAATAAGCAGAAACAATTCAAGAATACTGTAGCTCTCAGGAGATAAATTCCACGTAGTCGAGTCGAGATCTTGATCAATTCCATGTTGACACTCCGTCAACCACATAAGTAACAAATCCTGTAGATACACCACTTTTTTCGAATCCCGTCACCTTTACCGTGACGACCAGAAATTTTTTTTATTTTTATCTTATTTTACTAGCTTATTTAAATATTTATTCACCCGTTTTCTTCGAATAATTTATTTCAACCATTTTACATCCATTTACATGGAACAATGAATTTTTCGGAGGCTCGTTTAGCGAGAAATAGCAAGTACACGTTTTTCGAGGTAATATTCGATCCGAGAGTGCAATAATCTTGGAGATTTGAGGACTCATGTTTCATTTTTAAAATAGTTATTTTTATAATTATTTACCATAGTATTAGTTAGTTATATTATCGTTACAAGAATTTCTTTTAAGTTTCGCTTTATCGCGCGCGAATCAAAAGTTCGTGTATTTCGAGGCGAAACAGTTAAATGGAGATTTAAGAAATTTATTTGAGATGATTAAGAGTGAATAATTATAGTGTTAAAGGAATTACATTGGAAGATTAGTGCATAAGTGAAACAAACCCGAGAAAAATCGGTGGCACGATACCCACGTGCGCGCACTATTCCTAGTTGACTTTTGTAGGATTTTTGGCCACAAAACCCTCAAGCTTCCAAGGGAAGCTTCACAACTCAAACAACCCTCTCTCTCTCCTCCCCAAGCTCGGCTGAACAGCAAGGAAAAGAAAAGAAGAAGCTCTCTTCATCTTGCACCATTCTTGTTCCAAAACCTTCACAAATCACCACCCAATTCCTAAACTACTTGGAAAGCAACTTAAGCTTGGAGGAAGACACCTTCTTGCGGGTTTTCTTGGGAGATTTTCAGTCAAAAATTTCTGGTTCTTTCACAAGATAAGAGGTAGCCTTCATCAACCTTGAACCTTTCCATTTTCTTCAAGATTGGAGCTTTATTCGCAAAGGGTTTGAACCCTACACATGGATTAGACTAGCAGACTTGAGGTGTTTAATTTCTTGCTTTAAATGTTAGGCTAGTGGTCTTGTGGTGACCTCTAGGTAGTGGGCTTGAGGTGTAATTGCTTGAATATGATTGTTATGTGTGTAGATGAAAAAATTATGGTTAGAAATGAAGGAAATGCCAAAGGAAAATTGCGCAGGAATGTTGGCCGAATCTGTCCTGTTATTACCTTGCCTATATTTTGAATTTTTGATACTCAAATGACTGTGAAACTGATGTATATATGTTGTATATGGTGTGTAGAAAGTTTCTACCAAAAATCATTTGAATTGGTTTAGCAAAACTTGAGATTTCGAAAATTGAAGAAAACTGAAAAACGTGTTTAGGCAGTTTGAACAGTACCACTTTGATCGAACATATCTCTTTGTTCAAAAGTCAAAATCGAGTGCCATTTGTGGCATTTGAAACTAGACATTTGTAGCTTTCCAACGGTATAAAATTCACTTTCTAGTTCCAGATGAGTGAGCCGTAGTGATTCGGTAAAATTTGATGTCCTGTTCAGATGGTCTATCCGAGAGAAGGTAGAAGCTGCATTTTGTGGCTCTATTTTCTCTCATTTATGAATTGATTTTGAAAATAATTTGCTCGGATGAAATGTAGCTTTATGATTCTAGTTTTCAATACCACCAACCATTCACAGTTCCAAGTTGTATTGAATGAAATAAGGTTCAATTTCCAAACTGCAGCAAAGCTGGAAAACCCTTCCTTTTGCTGGCTGACTGGTTCAGTTGTTTGTGAAATGTTTTATTTTGAAATTTTGATGTCAACCAACTATCAATTGCTTATAAAATATTTCTTGGACCTTGGTTTCACAAATGAACCAAAATGAGACTGATTTCATGGTGCAAAGTGTTTGAAAAAGGAAAAGAAAACAAGAAGACAGATTTACTTTAAGAATTTCCCAAATTTTGGTAGTTTTTGTTAACTGCCTTCCCGTACGATTTTTTACGTAAAATTTGATAGAGGAGTATTTGTCATGTGGAAGTTGAATTGTACCAAATTTGGTGCTATTCTAAGACCATTTCGATACCCAAATGATGTGCCAAAGTTTACTTTCAAATCTGGAAAATTCACTGTTTAGTAGTGGAAATTGACCGACTTTGAACTGCTATATCTTGATACTCAGGACTTCGAATTTAGTTCCATTTGTTGTGTTCGAAACCCTATTTTGAACTCTTTTTGTGTTATAAATTTCAGAGGTTAGTTCACTTTCTGTGAATTTTTGCCGAATTTCCAAACTTTGCCAAAAAAATATGACCGAAACTGTCTTGTATGCTCAAGTCAGCCATTTTGAGCTGAAATTTGAATATCTTCCATTTAGAATATTAGAAGAGTATCTTCTAGGACCTTTTAGTACTTTGAACCAAGATTCCAACGGTATAATGTTTTCCAATTTTGAACCTATTGAGTGCAAGATCTGATTTTTCTAATTTTAACGTGCAAAATTGAAATTTTCCGACTTGATGGGAAATAAGTTTTTGGAAACTTTTCCCTAAACTTTGATATTGATTGATTGTTTTAAACTTGATTTCATGGAGGAAATCAGTTTTTCTTGTGTTATTAAACCCCACTTTTGAGCGTCGATTTTCGAGTAATTAAGGCTTTTTTTCATGACATTTTCTTAGTATTGTACAAGTGTACAATCTTCCTTGTTAGCAAGGGGTTTGTAAGTAATAGTGTGTGATAGTCAATTATTATTTGCTTAGGCGCTCAAAGGGACCTTCAAGAGGATCTCGAAATGGACGCCTAAAAGCTTGTTTGAGCACTTATTCCCTTATTTTGATTGGTGAGTGTCAAGTGCATGAATTTGTTGCTAAGTGCTTAACTTGCTTCTTATCCCTTATGTGAATTTGAAATTTTAGAGACGAGTGTGTACTTTATTGCACCCGTTCTCTTTCAAATGAAATTATATTCAAATTTTGTCATGTGAATCCATATTCAACTTGTGCGAAGTAATGTGAATGTAATTCGTATTTGTGATTCGTATATGTGATTCGTATTTATGATTCATATTTGGAATCATCGATTGGAGCGCTGCTCCTCGACTTATATTCGTATTCGGGAGACGTCCAAACTCGTTGGCTAACTTTGCGAATCGAGCCAGCATGGGCTTGGTCAATAAGCTTAGCAAACCATGAGATATTCGTAAAGCTTGATCTATTGAAGAGATCTTGCTTGGCATACTCGCGTAATATTGCCCTGATATACTCGAGTAATATCAAAACCCTGATGAGCAGGCCGGTAAGGGGGTGTAAAGGTGATGGGATTCGAAAAAAGTGGTGTACTTACAGATTGAATACTTATGTGGCTGACGGAGTGTTAACATGAAATTTGATCAAGACCTTGACTTGACTACGTGAAATTTAGCTCTTGAGAGCTACAGTATCCTTGAATTGTTTCTGCTTACTTTTCCTATGTGAAATATTAATTACTCGAACTTTACAACTTCACTTACTGTATAATTGTTGTGATTACTTGGACTACGTGTTTGCATGTATGTTTTTTGGCCTCACGAGCATTCACTCACCCCGTTAGATTTGTTTTCCTTAACAGGAGTTGGAATGGAAGGAATTATGGAGAAGTCTACTTGGTGGACGTTTGATTGGAATTTTGAATGTATTTGTCTAGACAACTTTTGGAGGTTGTAAATATTGGGAATGAGATGTACTTTTCGTATCTTGTGATGTAAGACTTGAATGTTTATTACGGAAGCAAACTTTCTTTACATCTTCGACTTTTAGTATCGATAGTTACCCTTAAGTTTGATTTAATTTGTATCGAGTCCTGGCGCGAGTTGGGCAGGCGTCCCGCCAATATCCTTTGGTTCGTCTTAGGAGAAGTGGGGGCATCATATTTACACCCCCTTACCAGGCCCGCTCATCAAGGTTTTGATATTACTCGAGTATATCATGGCAATACTACACGAGTATGCCAAGCAAGATCTCTCCAATAGATCATGCTTTACGAATATCTCATGGTTTGCTAAGCTTATCAACCAAGCCCACGCTGGTTCGATTTCCAAAGTTAGCCAACAACTTTGGGCATTCCCCGAATACGAATATAGGTCAAGGAGACCACACTCCAATTGACGATCACAAATACAAATCACAACCACATCACATCACATGAGTTGAATATTAATTCACATGAGTCGAATATCAAGTCACATAGTGAAATTTAATCAAAATTTCATGGAAAAAGAGAACGAGTGCGATAAAGTACACACTCATCTCAAAAATTCGAATTCACATAACACACAAGCAATAATCCACGTATTTGACAACAATTCATACATTTAACACTCCCCAAGTCAAAACAAAAGTGAGTGAGTGAGCAATTAAGCCTTAGGCATCTGCTTCGAGATTCTCTTGAAGATCTCCTTGTGCGCTTGAGCAAATAACAAGTAACTTTC